ATGAAATACTCATAAATTCTTCCCTTTTTCATCTTCTAGTTCATAGTAATATGGACTACGTTTCCGAAAAACTCTGGCTGGAATGAACACGGGAGCTAGTTTACTGCTAAATTTTTTATCGCGTTACTTTGAGTAAAATTTCTAGGGTAAACTAGGTCGCCAGCTTTAAACTATATTTTCCGGGCTCGTAGATTGTATCTACAACGGAATCCGCTTATAGCGACTTTCAAGGGACCGACGAGTTTTCGTCGTTATACCCTGAAGACGCACTAAGCAAAGGGATATAAGTGTAAAAGTCTGTATGCGGACCAATCAAGCCATCGAGTTTTCGTCGCCAAACCCGGACGGACACTATAAGCGGAGTCCTTATAACAGGAATCTACTGTATTTGCATTTTCCTCATGAGACTTGTTTATGTTCAGCTTAGGTTTCTGTCTCTGCAGCTGTAAAGCATCCGGCTTTTGTAGCCTTGTGTCATCTGCTAATCGGTTCAATGTAGAAGACTGTAATCCTTGCCGTTAAAAATCATATTCTGCCCAAACGGCATGAACCACTAATGGCATTAAAGTTGCCCATTGCCCTTCAATGGCCGCAACAGGTCAATCAGGCAGGCTCCGGTTTTCACTTTCACAAGATTCTCTCGTTTTCGTTTTCAAAAACGAAAATTGGTGCTCCGGTTTTCACTTTCACAAGAATTTTTCGTTTTCAAAAACGGTCAGATTTTTTTTGTCGAAATGAAAAGTAAATGCCTTTTTCTACATCAAATCGTTTCTTAATTGCAAAAGGAAAAAAATAGATGACTCCTTGGTCTATTGATGTTCATTTCACATCATCATTAGGTCAATCTAATTCGTATTTATTTTTTAAATAATTATTTTCTGACCCCACCTTGATTTCATACATAAAATATTTGCCGTCGGCAACAACAAATTTCGTTTTGCTAAAGGCTCGATAAATCTATTGCCAAAGTTATCGTTAATGCTGCCGTACTTGTAGTGGAACGAAACAACCACTTAAAAATACTTATAAATTGAAAACGAAGAAAAAAATATTTGTAAAGAATAGTTAAATAAGCTTCTTATAAATAAATATGATTAATTTTCTTTCTTAAATGGTAAAAGTGCAGTAAAAAAGTTGTTAAGAATAGTGGAATGAAAACTGCAAAAAAGGTGGCAGCCCCTTATTATGGAAAACAGCTGATTTCTGATGGTGGCTTATTTGAAATTTTTGAAAATGTAAGTAAGACAACTTAATTTACCGATCGCCAGACATATTAAAAACACATGTGTTGCATCTAAGATGTCTCGATTTTCTTAAATAAATCAATTTCTGCCTTCTTTTGGCTTAAAAAAAGGCAATTGAAAATATAAAAGTCATTTTTTCGCGTTGTTTACTTTTGACCAAAAAAAGTCAGCTGTTAGAACAATTCCGATAACGAAACGATGACAAAAAGTTTGTGAAAACCGGAGCACCAAAAACGAAAACGTACGTTTTCGCCCAAAAACGAAAACGAGAAAAAAAAGTGAAAACCGGAGCCTGCCTGTATATCTATATTTGCAATCAATGTTATGTTATGGTTATATTGGTTCAATAATTTAAATAATGTTGTATATATAAAATATATTATATATGTATATAACTATATATACATATATAATATTTAATATTTGAAGAACTTTAACATCAAAAGGGTATACATAAGTCGAGCGCCCCTAAGCCGTATTTTCCAGCGAAAACCAATTTTTTGTTTCTAACGGAGAATGACAACAGTGCAATTAGAAAAACGAAAGAATAGAAGACAAATTTGGAGTCGGGCCGCCGTCGGGTGGAAGAAAAATTATTTTTGAAAAATTCTTTTTGCAGTTACTATTATTTTTGTTTAAAGAAACTTTTTGCATCCAAAAATTTTAGTTTTGAAGCCGAGGGAAAAAGTTTTTTTTTAAATTGCCCTGTTCAATAAATATCGAATGAGTTGAGGAAAGTATGGTATCATTCAAACGGCATTTGAATTACCTTTCCATTGATACCAAAAGTTAAAAGAAGCAAGTTCAAGTTTCGAGTATATTTCACTTTTATTTTGACAAAATACTTATGGCAGCATCACCGTGGAAGAACCACACAACGGCCCAGTGGAATGCACAAATTTTCTGCTAACAAAGAAGACCCCCATTCAAAAAAATGTGGGAACTGCGGAGGAAACCATACGGCAAACTACAGAGGCTGTTTGGTCTACAAGAAGCTGAAGAGTCCCATGCGACGAGCGACAGCTACGTGTCAACAAAATACACAAAATGTATATTTTAAATCAAAAAGTAACCCAGACGTGTTGTTCGCCAAGGCAGCCAGACCATCTTCCGGTCCGCTCAGTACCACCAACGGCATCTCCTACGCTGTGCTGTATAATGGAGCTCATGTCATTTATGAAAGTGACCGTACAAATGCTGGTGCAGAACCAGAATATGGAGATGCAGTTGCTTGTGTCACAATAGTCTAAATAATCAATGACCAATTTACGCATATCCATGTGGAATTTCAACGGAATTTCACCGCATAAACTTGAAATAACACAATTCCTAAATGTAAATCACATCGACGCCATGCTTATACCTTCTGCCGCACAAATCAGCCCGATGGTAAAGCCCATGGCGGCACGGGCATCTTAATTAGAGAACGCATCAAACACCCTTTTAACCAAAGGTTTACAACAAATTACTTGCAAGCTACGTCCATAAAAGTGCAGTCAGGAAACGACAACCTTTGCATCGCCGCTGTCTACGGCCCATCTCGCTTTACAATCTCTGAAGGTCAATTCATGGATTTCTTAAAATCCCTTGGGGACCGCTTCAAAGTTGCTGGAGATTACAACGTCAAGCATACACACTGGGGATCACGCTTCGTTACTCCCAAGAGAAGGGAACTTTATAATGCTTTAATAAATGTGAGAAATAAGTGGGACTACGTTTCTCCTGGTAGCTCCACATATTGGCATCAAGATCCCTGAAAGATTTCGTGGTGACAAAAAACATCCCACGCAACCTAATAAGCGCCAAGGCCCTACCGGATCTCTCATCAGACCACTCGCCATTATTGATAACCCTTCTTCAAAGCCCAGAAATAACGGACCACCCCTACAGGCTGACGTCGCACAGAACTGACTGGATAAAATACGGAAAGTATTTGAGTTCACACATTGAGCTAACCCCACAGCTCAGTATCGAAGCAAACATCGATTGTTCTACCTCCGCCTTAGAAGAGGTATTCGCACAGCAGCCAGGATCTCAACACCACAACCACTGGATGTGCAAATAAAGAAGTTCAAAACCAACCTGCAAATTGAACAGCTCGTTCTGGAAAAGAGGCGTCTGCGACGGGCGTGGCAACCCAGCAGATCGCCATGTTCAAAGCAACGTCTAAATGAAGCCACCCGCATACTAAACCGGGTTCTGAAGCAAGACGCCGAAAACGCACAACGAAGACATATCGTGAGCAAATAACTCCAAAAGTGATAATTGAACTCCAAGCTTTGCTATTGAGGTCATCTGTAAACTCTTCAATGGGATCATAATTCTTGGCTAATTCCGTCCTCTTACAGACCAATAAGTCTATTATCATAACATAGTCCCAGTCCATCAATTTGGCTTCAGAGAAAAACATGGAATTATCGAGCAAGTCAACAGAATAACATCAGAGATTCGCACAGCCTTTGAACATAGAGAATAGCGCAATATTCCTCGACGTATTGCAAGCATTCGACCCCGTCTGGCTCAACGGTCTCATACATAAAATCAAAACACACTTTCCCGGGTACACTCATAAATTACTTGAGTCGTATCTCTACAACAGAGTGTTCTCAGCACAACAACATCCGAAAACTACAAAATCGAAGTTGTAGTCCAACAAGAAAGCGCACTTGGACCAACTCTATTCGTTGTTTACCGATTACTAACATCCACCTTCGCCGACGTTACTGTGACTCTCAGCCGCTCCAGATGCCCAGTCCGTGCAACATCCTAATTGGATAACCACCTCACGGTAGTAGAGAAGTGGCTATCCGACTGGCGTATCAAAATAAAAGAACAGAAGTTTAAACACAAAACGTTTGCTCTTAACAGACTAACATGCCCTCCGCTTTACTTGAATAGCACACAGACCCCCCAAGTCAACGAAGTAACGTATCTCGGCGTCCACCTCGACAGACGTTTAACATGGCGTAAACACATCGAAAGCAAGAAACTACACCTAAAACTGAAACGCCCGATCACCCACCACTACTAGGTACTACTCTACAACTCCACTTTTAAGCCAATCTGGACGTATGGCTCCCAGCACTGGAAGAACGCGAGCCAAACTAACATCGACATTATATAGCGCGCTCAAGCAAAGATCCTGAGAACTATCACTGGGGCACCAAGGTATATTCGAAACCAAAACATCCACAGGGATCTTGGCATTCTCGCAGTAAAAGATGAAATAGAAAAAAACCTCATACAAGGAAAAACTCTCAGCCCACCCAAATCCTTATGCAAGGGATCTTCTTTCCAGAAGAACACCTACAATGTAACCTTCCAACCCAGCCATAACTTGTCAGGGTAATTTTTACTATTTCAGTCTATATGACTGATAGTTGGATTATAGTATAAGATTTGATACACTTAGTATTAGTCTCGTAAGGAGAAGATTCAATAAACAAAGCAAAGCATTAAAAAAAAAAACTATACGGCTGTCCATGACACGCTTTTAATCATAAACTAAATTATGGAGAAAAAAAGTAACTAAGAATCGTTAATTATTAATTATGATTTAACTACGAGTATGTATTACATTTTTTTAACTCGATCTGATTTGATATCGGAGCATTTGCTCGCTCAAGGTGTTATCGTCACGTATTTTTATTTTGCTTAAATGTGTTTTTATTTTAAAAATGTTTGTAGCATCACTTGAAATGTTAATTTTGAACTCAAATGTGTGTTTGAATTGCTTACAAATTAAAAGAGACTTACTTGAATCCATTTACAATCCGAATTAATACGAAAACGATATAAACCGGAGCAAACGATGACAGAACTCCACAAATTCCGTCAGCCAATAATGTTGTAATTAAGACCATTCGCCGTCCTCTTGTATCGGCGAGGAAACCCCAAAAGTATGATCCAATTAACATTCCAAGCATTGGCGACGCAGACAGCCAACCTTTATGCGTTGATGTCATTGCAAAGTCACATGTGGCTGACGGCAAAACAAACGATATAATGGTTACTCCTATGGCTGTATTCATATAAATTAAGCCACATATTAGAAGTAATAATATTTGAAACTTTCCAAATCCAGTTTGTAGTAATGCATTTTCGTAGTCACTTGCAAATTCTCCAAAAAAATCAAGACCTAAAGATAAAGATATATTGTATTACTATTTACAGTATTTGTTCGATGTCATCGAAATTCAATGCTAATATTCATTTTATTACTGTTATTTTTATACCCTTGCAGAGCAAAGGGTATTATAATTTCAGTCAGAAGTGCAACGCAGTGAAGAAGACACCTTAGACCCCATAAAGCATATAAATTCTTGATCAGCATCACGATCAGAATCCAAATACGTCTGTACGTCTGTCCGTCCGTCCTCGTGTCCGTTTCTGCGTAAACTAGTCTCTCAGTTTAAAAGCCATCTTGATGAAACTTTGCCAAAAGTTGTGTAATTATTGCACGCAGTATAGAGTATAAGTCGGAACAGGCTGAATCGGCCGACTATATCGGAAAGCTTCCATACAAGAGAATGAATTATATCAGATCGACTTGATTTTCTCCAGATGGTGTTTTCTAACTACTATTGAATTTCGGATTACATTTTATCAAAATCGGATAGCTCTATCATGTAGCTGCCATAGGAAAGATCGAAAAATATATTTTGCAGCCACGTTGTTTTCCGACATCGTAATAGCAAAGCGAGTTTCGGTTTTGGACACACGACAGTCTATGCAACTGCCCGCGTCGTCCCTTCTTATTTCTATCCTTACCACCGAACCACACTCGGCGACAGCGACACTACGCTGTCGCCCTGCTAAAACGTTCCGTCTCAAAGCGACAACATGCAACATTACCATATATGGTAACATCAGTTTAATGATTCATCATTAAGAAATTATAACGTTAGTTGAGAAATGAGAAGTTATATTTGAATAAACTGTTATAATTTCAATTAATCTTCTTGTGAAATTCCCGAGAACTGTATACACATACACTCATACCAACATCCACACACTCTTAGTGTGCGCCGACACGGCCATCCTGACCATTACACGACCTCGTGCAATTTTTCCAAAAATTATTTGTTACCGTTCAATCAAATTATAACAGTTTATTCAAATATAACTTCTCATTTCTCAACTAACGTTATAATTTTCATTACAAATTACATCTTCATATCTGCGTTTTCTTTTTTTTATACCCTTGCAGAGCAAAGGGTATTATAATTTCAGTCAGAAGTTTGCAACGCATTGAAGGAGACACCTCAGACCCTATAAAGTATATATATTCTTGATCAGCATCACGATCTGAATCGAAATCCGTCGGTCCGTCTGTCCGTCGGTCCGACTGTCCGTCGGTCCGACTGTCCGTCGGTCCGACTGTCCGTCGGTCCGTCTGTCTGTTTCTATGTAAACTAGTCTCTCAGTTTTGAAGCTATCGCGCTGAAACTTTCCGGAAAGTTGTGTAGTTATTGCACGCAGTATATAAGTCGGACTCCGACTATATCGGATAGCTCCCATACGAGAGATTGAAAATAAAAATTCTCACTCCGTTGTTTTTGATCAGATCGACTTTATTTCTTCCAGATGGCGTTTTCTAACTACTATTGAATTTCGGTTTAAATTTGATCAAAATCGGATAACTCTGTCATATAGCTGCCATAGTAGAGATAAAAAAATATATAGAATAAATGGAAATTAATTGATAACGTCATTGTTTTTCATCACATGACTATGCTTTTTTGAGTATAAAGTTTTTTAACTAGCCTTGATTTATAAAAAAAATTTCATAAAAATCGGACAATTATATCATATATGTAGCTGCCATAGGAAAGATCGAAAAATCTATATATAATTAACGGAAATAAAATGAAAATGATAATATCGTTATTTCTCTTCAGAAAATCATGATTTTTGGAATATATAGTTCCGACTAACGACTTGAATAACAAATTAAATTTTATCAAAATCAGACGACTATATATATATTTATATATCATATATATCATATAGCTGCCATATGAACAATAGCCAAAAATATGGAAAATTAATGGAAAAGTCGTCGTAGCTTCGATGTTGTTTAGCCTTTGTGTATTCTGTTCGAAATATTTGATGACTGCAAGGGTATATAGTTAAATGGAAAGTTGAGACCTCTTCGTCTCAACTATGAAATTTGTAGATCGATGCCTGCAGCCACGACTTCTTAATCGGTTATAGGCTGATAGTGACGGTATTCGATAAGAAACCTCTTTCGACTTCCTTGTCGAGTAACAGAGGTTTCACAAAAAAAGACTTCAGTTTAGTCTTACAATTAATTTATTTGTACGTGCGTACTGTTCCAAGTCTGCTTAAAAACTAAACTTGGCATAAGCTAGGCTTCAAGCTTTTAAGTGGAAGCTTAGCTGCCGTGTACTAACTGTACATACATGAACTTAAAGTTAGGGTATGTGTGGGTGTACATGACTCCCCCAGCACAAGTTTCGACAATATTGTTGAAATTTTCAGTGGATTAAATATTGAATAGGTGTGTACAAAAAAGGTTCTTAATTTGTATCATTTTCATTTTGGTATTTATATCTTCTTTTTACCTGATCTTTATAAATTTTTTTTGTTGGGTTTTCATTAGATACCATGTAGTTACCAGCTTGATTATGGTTACTTATTTCTTTATAAATTGGATTGGATTTTCCTACTTGATTATTCTTAACGTATACATTTGCGAAGTTTGGCTCATTTACATTATTTTGATTCGCATTTAGATTCTGCTTATTTTTCACTAATTTTTCATACAATTTTACAATATCTTCATGACAAAGTATGTTATTAAATAAATCTATTGGTCTAGTATTCGTAATTGAATGTATTGTGTTATTGTAACAAATAATTGCTTTATGGACATTTTCTTGAACTGTGTCAGTATTGTTTGGATCCGCGTTATACAATCTTATATGTTCATTTAGTGTTAGATGTAATCGTTCCACGTCCGAGTTTCCGGTTTTCTTGTAAGGAGTTGTAAAGTGCACATCTATATTATTTTCTTGGAGAAATTGCTTAATTACAACTATGTTAAATTCGTTATCAGTTACAATCTTCTTTGGCTTCCCCAAGTATTGAATTCTTAATTTTATCGCGTTAAGCAAAGAGATCCAGGATCTATCTTTAATATATTGAGCCGTCGCATATTTAGACATTTTGTCAATTGACGTGAGATACATTACATTTCTTTTAGGGTACCAAATGTCTATATGTATTATATCGTTAATTTTTTCTGGCGTTTCTGTTATATTTAAATTATATTTTAAAGGTTGCCGATCGTATTTAGCTAAGTTACATATTTTACAATTATTAATATAACTTTGTATAACTTTTTGCATATTTGGGTAGTAGTATTTTTCTCTTATAGATACAAATATTTCGTTAATACCTCTGTGATTATTTTTTAAGTGTTCGTTTTCAATTATCTTTAGAATTTTTTTCTTTATCATTTATATCTTCTAATAGTATACACGACTTGAGAATTCTTAAATTTCTATTATTTGAAAAAAACTGTCTATAAATTTCTTGAAATTTTACAAATAAACTTAGGTTTTCTGAGAATACAGCAACTAGGCCTTTTTCAGGCAACTTTTCTTGCATGAACTTTAGCATATTTTCCTCATCACCACTTGTTTTAAAAATGTGTCTTATTTTTTTTTTTATGCAAAATTTTGAATGTGCTTGAATCACTTTCTGCCTCAATAATTTTTATTTGGATTTTAAAGACGTTTAGACATTTTTCGGTAATATTTATAAAATTATGATCGTCGGAATCTGCACTGTGAACGGTTGCCAAATCGTCAGTTTCGTTAGTAAATAATTGAACCAAACTTTTAGAGAAATCTTCATCTTCTACGTTTGTATTATGTGTAATGTCTGGTAAACTGTTATTTATCTCTAGCGTGAATATATCAGTGTTATGTATATCTACTTTTGTTTGTACGTTTTCGTCAAATTCCTCTGATGATGCTTCAACAATCCTGCTAAGTCCGTCTGCCAAAGCGTTTTCCTTGCCTTTTATAAATGTTATGTCAAAGTCGAACTCGTTTAATTGCACTTTCCAGCGCTGTAGTTTTAAGTTAGGTTCTTTTAGATTGTTAAGCCAAACTAGGGGCCTATGGTCGGTTTTGATTATGAACTTTCTTCCGTAAAGGTAATATTTGAAGTATTTTGTTGACCAATATATGGCAAGAAGCTCTTTCTCTATTGTGCTATAATTAAGTTCATGATTTTTAAGCGAACGGCTAGCATAAGAAATTACTTTATTTCCTTGCATGAGCACGGCGCCTAAAGCATAATTACTTGCGTCTGTTACTACAGTGAATTGTTTATTAAAATCTGGGTACACGACTATCGGGTCGCTTGTTATTAGGGTTTTTAGTTTTTGAAAAGCTTCTGTGTATTCTTGATCATGTGTGTTTATTTTAGCATTTTTCTTTAAGTATTTTATCAAGGGCTGTGCAATTTTTGAGTAGTCTTTTATGTACCGCTTTAAATAACCTGTGATTCCTAAGAAACTTTTAATTTGTTTCTGGTTTGTTGGTAGTTTTATTTTAAAGATTGCGTCGACTTTCTTCTGACTTGGCTTAAGACCTTCTGAGTTTATAGTGTGGCCAAGAAATTCTATCTCCTCTCTGATAAATTCACATTTGTCTGATTGGAGCTTTAAATTTGCTTTAGAAAGGCAGCTGAATACAGAGTTAAGATGATTGACGTGTTCTTCTATATTTTTTGAAAATATAAGGATGTCATCCATGTAAACGATGCAAAATTGCCCAATGAAGGGACTAAGAATGTTGTTCATTAATCTTTGAAACGTCGAGGGAGCGTTCCGCAGTCCAAAAGGCATACGAAGAAACTCGTAATGTCCACTTGTTGTTGAAAACGCTGTTTTGTGTATATCTTTAATATCCATTTCTATTTGATAGAAACCTTTCGCGAGATCTAGGCTTGAAAATATTTTGCAGCCTCCTAACTTGTCAAAAATCTCATCTATATTTGGGATCGGGAAGCGATCTTCGATAGTTTCCTTATTTAGTTTACGGTAGTCTACAACGAGCCGCCACTTTTGCTTATTAGACTGGTCCATTTTCTTTTGAACTA